AGGGGGGGGGGCTACTGGTTTCTTCCCTAAATCTCAATGTGTGTACACGTAGTCTTGACGCCTTTGTTACTCACATTCTTTGTCAGTGATCACAGGTCAGTCAAGGACTGGTTCTCCAGTGAATTGGCGTGTCCCGCCAAAGTGGACACATTCAAAGTGTGTTCATTTCATTGCTCAGTTTTAAACTTCGACAACCACTCTTTCTCGTTTTCAAACCAGCGTCTTCGGACACTACAGTATAATACTATTAGTTTGTTGGGCTTTTTCTAATGTTGTGTTTCTCTTCTGTGCGTTTGCTGGTCGTTTTATTTCTTGCTACAAGTGTCGAGCGAGCTTGAGACATTGTTGCCAAGAAATCTGAATGTGTTGAAGGATATACACATTTTCGAAGATGGCTGTAAGTAATTTCTAAAAAGAGTGATGATAAAGATGGCCATGATGATGATGATAATAATGATAATAGTAATTATAATGATAATAATAATTATAATTATAATAATAATCATGACGAAAATAATCGTTTAACTAAAAATCAAAACAGTAATGAGCAATATACTCCTACGACCGCTCATATGTACTCATACAACAAACATGGTGAAGAATCTTCGAACCCGCTCTCAAAATTTAGAGAAAAAAAAAGTTTCGTTGCGAAGCAGCCGCAGCCACATTACATTTTGTTGACTTGTCCTGTACAGTCAGTATATCTATGTTATTTTCAATGGCAATAGGATGTTATTTTTGCATGTATACTGACAAACAATAGTCATTAATAACGATGTGCTTAATTTTTCCTATTTATTTTAACTAAACGAATTTTTTTTTTATTTGATGACTTTTTTCTTGAGATGGTATTCAAAGTTGCAAAAAATCAGTAAAAGTACACACTCCAGAATCCACCAACAAAAATCTATTCTATAATAGGGATGAGTTCTGCAGGGGGCCGGCACTTACCGTGACAAGGCCAACTGAGCAAACTTTTCAAGAGTTGGTGCACTTAGAGAACCCAATTGATGACTTACATTTTGGTAAATTTGACAAGGCGTGCTACCTTTTCAGAGCAAAGATCATTTGATAGTTCCAGTCGAGGACTAATTCGAGTCATGTAGAATCCGCCATTATCTTCTTCTGTCGACTATTGAGAATATCGGACTTCAATTTTGGAAGGAGAGGGGTTGGGGAGGGTCTCCCCCCGCCGCTAAAGCCACATACATAACATTTTTGCAAAATACTGAATCAAACTTGTTTTGTATACCCCTCAAAATATCCCCTCCTAAGTGTGTTGTTGATCAACCGGCCCTCTGCGGAACTCCTTCCCCATAATATTGTAAAAGCAACATGTAGTGTTTTAGTGTTACATTTTCTCTTTATTCTGTGAAAAGTTCATGAATATAGAATGAAAACTGGAGGAGCTATTGAAAAAGGTGTATTGTAGAAAAAACGTGTTTCGAGAAAACGGACGATAAAGAAAAAAAGATAGGCTTTATAGGACATGGCAATAACTAACACATTGGCATGCCTGATATGTGACCAAAAGAGGCATTCTGACGATAAACTATGATGATGAGGTGAATTTAAAAAAAAGAAAATTGGTTTACTGAGCACGTCAGTCTTTGAGTTTGAGTGTCCAAGAAGAGTTGTGTGATGAACTATAAGTGGTGGCGGTTGAGTGAGGCCGATAAATTGACACGACGTTAAATCGAGCACCTGCAATCAATGTTTGGACAGATGTGATTGGCTACGTACTTCACGTGGTATTCCAAATACGATCAAGATTTAATGGCTTGTGATAAATTGTTGTGTGTTGTTTAAACATTTATTATATAAGTATTTTCTTTATTGTTTACTTGAACAAGAGCACCTCGGGCACAATCAACCTCTCTGTAGCTGTATTATTAGTGTTATTCATCAGTTCATGCTCTATCATCATCATCATCACTCTGCGCCCCTCGGGGACTCATGCATGCAGGTCTAGATTCATTTGTCAGTGCGATCACTCATCATTTCATTCCGTTCTACATCCCCGTCTTGTGTTTTCCATTTCATTTGTTGATTTCGTCATCACTTGTAACCCCGTTGAATCATTAAAAGTTCATTGATGTTATCCGACAAGTGATGAGTCATTCTTTATGACGACATCAACTGCTGAAGAATAAGTGTTCGGAGTGATACTCACCGACCTATAAGTATAGGCCTAACTCTGATTGCCCTCTCATTAGATCTACCCAATGGCAGTGTCTAAGTACACGATAACCGACAACTCAGGGTCTTTCGACCACCACAACAGCATCATTATTACTTCCACTACCACTATACAGCATCATCATTACTTCCACCACCATTTGCCTTTCCACTTGTTTAATTTGATTTTGTTGAGTGTTGAGTTTTTCTGTAATTTTTTTTTTTTAATCACAAAGCTCAAAACCGACAGCCGTATCCCCTTCCGAACACCTCTTCCCCCATAAGCCGAGAGTGCGATCGCTACGCGCAGTCTCATAGGTCGAAACAATTAACTTTGCCCCCCGGCAAGGTCAGCTCAACTTAGTTTTGTTCATAAACATGACGATCGACGCAGGGAGGGCCAGTTTAGATAGATCTAGTAACTGGATATTAAAGCTCACGTCTCAATTGTTATCATTATAATCGAAAAAATGTTAATGCATGCTGGAAATATTTAGAAACAAGGGTCGGACATCATATGGACTCAAATCAGAGTCAGAATATAATTTTTGTCTATTCGGACTCGAATTGTCACTTCGATTAGTTCGTTATTGTAACCCTGACTTCCAGTTACTCCCATTCAGTTTCGGTTTGACTTTGGAGAGTGCGTAGTCTAAACAGCCGTATGCACTGCTCACAGCCGAACGCTCCGTATCCCGGACTCTAGCATGGAGACCATCAGGAGAGAATGCGTCGCTGTTTCGGGCTCTTCCTCTCTACAGCTTTTCTGACGCACCAAATCCCCTCACCGTTGTGAGGTCTCCATGTTAGTTCGACTGTTTTCCTCTGTTGCCAACTTTAGGATTCATTCCAGCCTGCGTCCTCTCGCTTCAACCTGATCCAGTGACTGGCTTTCTCTGCTGTCTCCTGAAGGGAGTTTGTGTGTTCGTTGCTTTTCTTTGCAGTAAGTCCTGCCACTCTCATCCACTTATGGGCGCTTGTTGCTACCCTTGGGTAAAAGAAAATGTTCAGGGAACGTAGCTTTTTTAAGAGTATCTGAGAAAAGGAATGAATGGAGAACCATGATCGCCGATGTCTGCCGCAGAGCTGGCTCTGGATGAATGAACCTTCCTCATTCTCACCTTCTCTCTCTCTCTCT